ACGCGCAAGTCACGAAACACTGGCAGGCGTGGGACTTTCGGGACATCTGGAAATTATGGGGCTTCCAGAATCCTGACCGCAGGGGGGGCTCAGGTCGTCGGTCTGCGCAAGCGCAGTGTTTGGGATGGTGAGGTGTTAGGGTTTAGGGTTTAGGGTTTAGGGTTTAGGGTTTAGGGTTTAGGGTTTAGGGTTTAGGGTTTAGGGTGGGTTTAGGGTTTGAGGTTTAGGGTTTAGGGTTTAGCATTGTTGAAAACAACTGCCAGATTCCTCAACGGTTTGCAAAGGGGGGAGCTGCGCCCCCCCCAATCCCCCCCCCACACTATCGCAACATGAGCCCGCACCACAACGAATAAGAATCCTGATCAACAACTGCCACATTCCTCCATGGTTTGCAAGAATAGGGGCGGAGCAACCCCACACCCCAAAATCCAGATCCTAACAACTTTAACCAAACTTAAGCCCTAATACCCTAAACACTAACAACCCTAAAAACCCGGAAACCCTAAATAAAAGCGAATCATCCTAAACCCTAAAAACCTTAAAGCCTAAACACCCTGAACCCCGAAGACCCTAAGCCCTAAAAAACTAAGCATCCTGAACCCAAACACCTTAAACCTAAAAATCCTAAACCCTAACAACCATAAAAACCCCCCAAACCCGGAGGAAAAAAAAAGAGAGACCCTAACAACCCTAAAAAGCCAAAACCCCAAAAACCCTAAACGCTAACAAGCCTAAAAACCCTGAAGCCTAAAAATCCCAACCGAAAAAAAATAAACCCTAACAAGCCTACGGCAAAACCCCTAAACTCTTGTAAGAAAGCTAAGCCCAAAAGACCCTTAAAAACCCTACGCCTCAAAATCCAAAAGCCCCAGACCCTAAACATCACAAAACTCCGAGAAAAACAAAAACTCAACCCTGTCTTGCCCAAACCTTGAAAACTCTAAACCCTGCAAACCCTAAACATCCTGAACCCTATAAACACAAAACCCTAAAAACGGAAGCGAAACCTGAATTTCTCAAGATGGCGGGAAAACTAGGAGCATGGGCCCTACAACCTAAACCCTAAACCCTAAAACCCTTGGACCCTAAACCCTCCTAAACCTTAAACCCTTAAACCCTAAACCCCTCAACCCTAAACACATCCCCAATCCTATCAGCCTGGGCCAGCTCCGTCGTCTCTTTCAGAACGCTTTTGGTCCAGCCTTCTGGATTCCGGCCCAGGACCCATCCTAGGATTGAGAGCTTTGAGCTTGGGGTTTAGGGTTCAGGGTTGAGGGGTTTAAGGATAATGGCTTAAGGCAAGGGCCTTAGGGTTTAGGACATAGGGCTCAGGGTTTAGGATATAGGGCGCAGGGCTTAGGATATAGGGCTTAGGGTCTCGAACCCATACGGGGTTTCTCAGGATAGGGGTAACCGAAGTGCATTATGGGAGTTAGATAGGGATTAGATAAGGATTAGATAGGGTTTAGATAGGGACTATGGCTACTTCTTTTCCCTAAACCGTGAATTCAAAGAGAAAAATTCCTTAAATGAGCCATTGTCTAAACTCCTAGTATCCCCCTTGATATACCCTATACTAGTCCCCTATTTAATCCCTT